ACGTCATCATAAGTATGACGTCATTATATGTCATTGTCAGTTACACTGAAGAGCTGTCATGAGACAGCGAAAGTACTATGTATGAAACTGATATAAAGAAGATGATGGACTAAGGTGGACTTTATTATTTTATTATATATTACATGTACACCGAGTGAACATTTACCTCATTTTTGTATATATATATATATATATATATATATATATATATATATATATATATATATACAACATATAATATACAATGCATATCAAGATGGTCACAAGCCTAAAATAAATAGAAATTAAGCAAATAAAATAATAATAATCATCATCATCATCAAAAGAAATAAAATTAGACACCTTAACGCAATAATGAGTTTAAATGTACGATGAATCTGGACAGATGTTTCAAAGTGGATATATTTTTAGGTGATAACGTTTTACGCAATTTACACATATTTGGCCAGATATAACAATTCTGTTGGATGTAAAGAAGTCGTTGTTTGAGAAGTGCTTCACACCTACAAAGATAGTGAAATTCGTCTCCAACAGCAGATGAATTGCATCGTGTGCAGACACGGTCTTCTCTCAGTAACACTCTCCATCGGCCGGTTTCAATGGGCAAATGATGATTGGATGTGCGAAATTGTAAAATTGGCAAGTAGATAGTTTTGGGAAGTAATAGAAATTTGGGTAATTCTTTTAAATGTTGGTAGTATAAACCTTTTGAACTTGATAAAATACATTCTCGCCACTGTTGAATAAATTGGTTAACTCCAATAGTGTGTCGTGCCGGTTGGCAGACAGAAACCCATTGCGGAGGCGATAGTTGTGCCGATGTAGCAGGCTAATATCAATCGCTGAAAAGTTCATATTAGAATATGTTGAGCCTAGGACCAAGTCACTCCCCTCTACCAGGCCTCAGATCACGCCCCGTTGGGCTCAAATCAATTCCCTACATTTTTACAGTATTTTACTTTTATTGTTCTGTCTCTGTCTTGGTTGTGACCAAACGCTATTGATGTTCATGAAAACAGTAGCACCGTTCTCAACCCTGAACGGCGTGAAGGCGTCCGATGTCTTGATACCGCTGTTGTCGTGTCAATCTTGGCATATTTAACGTTATGGAACACTGGCATTGAGTGATGAAGCAAACCTTCTCGTTGGACCTTTATAACCCTCTATATCAGCGAAAAACGAACATTGTGATTTTATCGGGAATCCCTCAGAATCATATCCCACACCAGGTGTTTTGGAAACTTGCAATGTCAAAGAACTAACAAAATTTGGACATAAACTCGTAAAATGGACAACCTACCACCAGCATCAACCTTATACCATTGACTGTTTCAAATTATTAATTCTAAACCTATTCGAAAACTTTCGATTCACATTCAAGTGAGTAAGTGAGTTGTGAGCTGTTTATCTGAAGGGGTGCAGGGTTACCTCCCTTTAGTCATTTATGACGGTCTTTTGTTTTAGCGACAGGCAGTTAAGCCTCGTATGTTATCGTCCTTTGTTCCTCTATGTGGTCAAGCACAAAACGCGTTCTTATAACATGTCTAAGAAAATACAGTTATGTAGCACGCACTGCGTTGTCAGTACATTGTATGCTATATTTCTACCTCTTAGAATTATGATGTATATTTGTCAGTGACAAAGTGTCAGTTGGTTATAAAGACTCTGAATTTATGAGTATCTTTAGTATGCATTTCTCATCGGCTTGCCAGAGGCCCCGTTAGGTGAGGTGAGGTGAAATGGGGTTTAACGTCGCGTCCAAGATTATTGCACTTATATAGCGATGTGCATGCACGTGTGTGTGTGGCTGCTTGTACTAGTCCGGACTGATGCCGATTTATAGTGCTAGCACACTGAGATACCATGCCGCAGTTTAACATGAATACCCCACCCAGACACAGTATACTGACTCCGAGCCGACCAGTACTTGTTTTAGCCCTTTAATGCCGAGCGCCAGACAGGGTAACAACAGGTACCATCTTTTAACGTCTTTTGGTATGACGCGGTCGGGGATCGAACCCCGGACCTTCCGCTCTCCGGGCGGACGCTCCCCTGTTAGGATTAGACTAATACTTATTGTTGCTCTCTCTAATTTTGCTCGGTACTGCTGTATGACTACTCATTTTATAACGTGTATAAACAAATATATACCTCCGAACGTTTTGCATGTTTGATTACATGGAGTATATAAGCCCATCATTCGATATCACTCATTCATGGCTATTAGTAAAATGCAGCGCAGTTAGTTGTAATTGCAATATCTTGAGAGAAATAAGTAGTTACACCATTTACTTTGTAATGGCGTACCAGTTCATTGTGTGTAGAACTTGACTGTATCTCACACTACTTTATTTTTCCAGCTTTAACCACATACTGTCTCATCAATAAAACAAGTCTGGTTGGTTGCACTATCTGTTGTGGTTGACCTCTTCTTACAAGCAATCATGAAACGGAATAAGTTGTGTTTAACGCCGATTGAACAGCATTCCAGTAACATCCATCTTCCCGAGGCGAGAGAGTTAACTGACTATAAAGGCCAGTTTCCACCCTTGCCGAACTGGTCTATAATTATGGAGTTACATTTTGGCTGGGCCAAGGAGTCTGTGTATAGTCCAATCAAAATCGCGTAACGAAGTGGACATCCGGTTCGTTTACAACAGGAATTTCAACGTGCAGATGTAGGTCGACTGCAGGATTTGCGAAGCATGTGTACCGCCAACTTGGCGTCGACAGATATTTTGTAAATTCTTTCAAGCTTTTAATCAAGGTTAATAGAATCTGATTGGTTAATAGGAGGAACACAGAAGGAACATAACTCGTAATAGCCACTAGTGGTGCTACGATCGCGCCTGGAAATTCCAGCCTCGTTCGGCAAGGGTGGAAACTGGACTCTTATAGTCAGTTAACTCCCTTGCCTCGGGAAGATGAGTTACATCAGACATTAACCACTTTGGTGAAGCCAACGAGCGCGGATATGGTATTGACACACCTGGAAACATGATCGGGGCGAAACAGGATTCGAACCCTCGATCTTTGGTCGCTGGCGTGCATAGCGAATTGCGCCTTAGACGACAGGGCTACCCGTGTCCGTCTAGTGTCGGGGAAGATTTGCTAAAGTGTACTTTGAAAAAAAACATAAACAGAAGCAATTTAGAAAAATTAAATCTGGCAATTGTTTGTGTTCCATGTTGATGTGATTTCGCTTTGTTTTCTTTTTGAATATTATTATCTGAAGAACTTCCTGTTGATGTCCTGTTGCGAATGAAATGTTTCAAGACAAACATGTTGCCAAGCACCCATTGCAACTAGTGGAAGAGTGCAATTACATCACTCAAAGACGAAGTCATGCTATCTGCTAGCCTTGACCATTGATTATCTTTAAGGTACATGTATATGTTGTCCCATATTTGTGACTAGTTTTACATTTGTAGAAACGTATACATGTCATTGTATTAGTGAAGAGAATTGAAATTACTTAACCATATATAGTATATGGAATTATATTTCATGAAGGCATGCCGAAACAGAAAAGAACATTTCCAACTGCACTTTGTGTTCAAAATACATGTACCCCCCCCCCCCCCCCCCCCCACACACACACACACACACAGACACACAGACACACACACACACACACACACACACACACACACACACACACACACACACACACACACACACACACACACACTGGCCCCTTGTATAGATGTACATGCAAATAATCATAATCAACGCAACACGTTTCTCTAAAACGTTGTTACCATTAACCAGCTTGTGAAACAGAGAAACAGAGTTGACTGGTGGGATATATGGGGAGGAGCAGGTTTCACTTTCAGCTGAGACTGTACATACGCGAGCAAATACTTCCACCAATTATAGCATATGAGCATAGATTAGATCATGTGTGATGAAAAATTTATTAGACGTTGAACAGTTCAGTGAAACCCACGAGCACGGTAACACGTACTGTGATAAGTCTGGTTTTCAATCTGAACCCTCAACTGCACACAGCTTATTCCGGCGCCTCGGACGACACAACAGACCGTGTCCCCATAGTAAAGGGAAATGGCGAAATACTTATGCTATAATACAGGGTCATTTAAGCATTTGACTACTAAAAACAACCAATCGTCAACTCAAATGTTAACAAATATATTCCTCCCAGTTTCAGACATGCTCGTTGGTTTCACAGTGGTGAGCGTGTTATCCCTGCATCACATTAGCCTCTGGGGCGATCGGATAGCCTAGTGGTTAAAGCGTTCGCTCGTCATGCCGAAGACCCGGGTTCGATTCCCGACATGGGTACAATGTGTGAAGCCCATTTCTGGTGTCCCCCGCCGTGATTTGCTGGAATATTGCTAAAAGCGGCATAAAACCAAACTCACTCACTCACTCGTTAGCCTTTCCTTCAAAAAGTAGTTGACAGGACGTTATATATAGACAATACTGTTCAAATCGGTGGTGTCGACTGTTCTTTTGACAGAGATTTATTGTGCGTTTGAAAAGGTCACTCATGTCACATGTGTATTCATATTATTCCTAGTATTCTTAAAGCGACCAGACTTAATCAACAGAGCTACCAAGGAATTCAATATCTAATCAGCAACAGTTACAATGTGTATAGACTCCTGGAGAGTAGTACCTGCCCGATGTGTATATTCATGCATATATGTGCACGTCATGTCCTTACGAACAATGTGCGTACATAACAAAACAATATGAGTCTCTCCAAGTTCCCGAGATAAATTCAAATGAAGAGAACTAATCAACTTTTCCACCTCGAAATCAATTAAAGTAAAACCAAATGTATGTTACAATAGACCACCGTCATTACTATGCTGGCACTTGAGTCAGGCGAGACATGGGCATTTGAGAAATATCATTTTGGGCGGATATCTTGCGTGAATATTTTATGTCCGTATCAGTTACTTCGGTCGGCTGAGACTTCACAATCTAACACGTTAAAATCTAAAACGAAATGACAATGTTGAATGAAAACAAACAGCCTGAAGATTCCTTTATAATATAAACACGGAACATGAACAAACATGAAACCTGCAAATTGTATGGTGACATCAAGTTGCCAAACAGCAGTGGTATGGGGGAACTGCAACACGGTCATGAAGCCATAGACCCAATCAAGTTAATAAATCCGTAACTGTCAATTGATTTATTAACACAATATTTGTGTATGAAACATAGCAAACATCCTACGGCTTTGTGAACTAGACATACATATATATTCTTATACGAAGGTAACACTTTCTGCATGTATATGATTTTATTAATAACTAAAATTAATAATAATTAAGATTACCTTGACTGACATCTAAGAGAAACTTTACTACAATTATAAATCAGTCAAATTCAACAATTAAAACGACAATCATACAGCAACCGATATTGGCATGACAGTTGCCCGACCTGAGGTGGGGTAGCAAACACAAGCTTTCGACGTAATCGAAAAAGAGCATAAAGTCGCCCAAGTTCAAGGACACATCATATTAATAGCGTGTATGACCACCCCTTGCTACAAGACAAGAAAAAACTCTCCGGCGCACAGAAAAAGTCAATCGTCTTTTAAATCATAGAGGAGCTCATAGAGGATTTGCAAGTTTTGCATATGTTCTACTGTTTCTGTTTAGGAGGTATATAGACACTTTATGGCAAAAGGCAGTCCTTGCTTATCTATTTCTTAATGCACAGAAACGTATTTCTAGGCAAGGAGGAATAGAACCACTTAACTGCTTTGAACAACACATATATGCCCTTTTTACCCAGATCAACCAGTATGTCTAGTGAAGAAAGTATTTTGGGGGGTACAATATATAAGCAACTACATTTTTTCCAGCAGGCAAAAAAAACAACATGTATCACGAAGTACAATAAAATCTCGAAAAAATAATCGACAAGGGTTAATTGGTTAAAACATTTTTTAAGAACCTCGATCATTTCAATTCGACAAATTCAATTTGATATACTAGCAAAGCGAATCGTACGTAAAAGAGTAATTCGATGGAATGGAATCAAGTCAAAGATTCAATGTTCAGTGTCTTGGGAGATGTTCGTAAACAGTACAGCAATACAAATGGGATCGTACATATAAGCAGGAGCACTAAAATACACTCTTGTGTCAAGCAAAGAATTACATCAATTTGTTAAATTACAACGCTGCAGATTTAAAACTCAAACACAAAATGATAAATGTTGAAGCAATAAAAGGGAGGTAAATCTGCGCCTTCTCGTCAACTGGCTACCGGGCGTAGTAATACACATCCCCGGAAGTGGGTCTTAGGCCAAACGACGCCTCGAGCTTTCCCAAAACATCCGCAAAAGTAGGCCTCTTATCGGGACTCTGCTCCCAACAAGTTTTCATCAGGTTGTGATGGCTGCAAGACGAAATACACAGTATCTGCAAATGTAGATTTGCAAAGCTATCCTTTTTAATGAACAATGCATCTAACTTTATAACAAAAGGGGCTCATTCCTCATTAAGTATGGACATATCTTATGGCAAAGTTTACTGTAATAGAATTAGTCTGGAAACCGTATTATATACATTTCACCTTACTACAAATACTACATGAATGAATGCTGTAGGACTCCTGTGCCAAATGGATTCACTCGAAACAGTTAATCCCTAATTCCCCGTCGTTTTTTTCAATTAGTTCGAACTGTTATTATCGTTCCGAATGATAATTTTAATCGGCCTCAGTGTAACTACACTATACACTATAGTTATGGGCATTTTGCTGGAATTTCTTCTCAAGTTTTGTTGTGATTATTCATTTCACTGTTCTTTAAAACTTAAGAAGCCATTAGTCTCTTTTCAGGAGGCCACGTAGGCGGCCATGTTGCATTTTGAAAAGGCCAACTTTCCCCAAATATATTCAATCATTAAACGTCATCTTATTCACTTATTACTCAATTTCGAACATCATTCTGTTTCAATTATGCACAAGAATGGTCCGAGAGTTAATTCAAAATCTAAGGTGTCTATAAATGAGATTCTCAGATTCTTTGGTCCGTTTCAATACTTTTACTGATCCAGATCAATGACCAGAGTCAGGACAATGAACGAGGAACTCAGCAGTCCCTTACCCATTTCAAGTCTAGATCTACACATGTTGATAAGTAACATGTTTCAATTGTATAATTAAAAACATTATGGTATGATAAGCATAATCAAATTTGGGCATTTATGTAACCAAAGCTGTATTTTAACTTGAATCAAACTTTCTGTGACTGCAAATTGGTCAGTGCCTCTTTCTACTGTAACTAGCCACACTAAATATCACTGTACAAGAACATTGGGTAATGGCAATATTAAACTCCGACTGATACCCGAACAAAACAACTCACATATCCTCGGCGAATTCCGGTCTCTGGAGCCGGAAACCATTCCTGATTTTGACAGCGAGATCTCTGCTACGGATGTCTGAGTAGGGCGCCTTGCCTGTGTAGTATGTATATGTGCGTGTCTTAGTCATTCGAGCATCATGCAATATGTACATAGAGAATATAATATAGAACCCACATACTGATTACTGAGTATATATACATGTACGTCACACAGTATCAGGACCTGGTGATGTATTCCGTTATTAGCGTGGAAAACTCAGTATGATATGAGCATCGACGCGGAAACCATTTGGGACCCCGTTCCACAAAGCGATCTTAGCGATGCGATCCTTTTATGTAAGTTTATGATACATCAAGGCAGTTACGATCGTGCTAAGAAAGAGCGGGTTAAATTCGTTGTTAAGCTTTCAAGGTGACGCTCCTATTGTTTTTTACGGCGCTTTTGACTGAATATCAAAACCGGGAAATGAAGAACGTTACTGACGTGTCAGTAAACTCAACATGTATATATGTACAAATGCAACAGTTTGTCCATTTCACTGAAATCCTTAAGTCACTTTCCATGATAGAATAGGTCCCTAGCAAGAGGCGACATAATGAATTGGGGTCGTTGCTCATAATATAAACCACTGACTTTTAATTTTTTTTTTGGCCGCCCTCATACAGCCGAAATATTGTGGCGCCAACAAACAAATCATTACAAGAAACAAAACTTTTGAAAAGACGAGAAGGCCATTTTCAGATTTAGAGACCTACCCATACTGAAGATCTCCCACATAGTGATGCCAAAGGACCAGATGTCACTCTTCTCGTTGGCTCCCTTCAGAGACTGAAGACACTCTGGAGCCGTCCACTTCACAGGGATTCGATCCTAAAAATGTTTTAATTTAGACAGTTAAAGTTGTGTCCTGTTATAGACGTATGGCATCCATATTTCGCATTCTTATTGAATATGATTGTGACTAGCTTGTTAATCTGTGGAGATTTCAGGCCAGAATAGCAGAGACGGGAATCGGATGGTCAAGCTCTCTGACCTGGCTGCTTGTATCTAACCCAGACGGCGAGGGGTGATGTTTTGGCAATCAACCACTGCTTTGTTTGGCGAATATTATTTCCCGGATGTTGTTATAAAGCTCTGTAATATTTCTTACAGTATGTAAAAGCATAGGACCCCCCGAACAAATATACAATAAAGATTAAAAAAACAAAACCAAAAAACCGAACACACAAAAAAATCAACAAACCCCCCCCCACACCCACACCCCACACCCCCCCCCCCCCCCCCCCCCCCCACACACACACTGAAAAAAGCAAAGTAGAATTAAAAATTTAAATAGTAATTTAAAAAATAAACACAACAACAAACACCTACACCCACACCCACACCCACACCCACACCCACACCCCCAAAAAACAAAAAAACAACAAAAAAACACAGCAAGAAACAAACAAACAAAACTAAAAACAACAAGAAAAGACAATATTACCCCCTTAGAGTTGTCATCCTCAGTGGCGTCCTCCATGCGACAAGGTCCGAATCCACTGACCTTTACCTCATTTGTGAAGGTCAAGAGGCAATTCCGAGCAGCCAGCTTTCGGTGGGTAATCTAAAATATGGCTGTTGTTATACATGAATTGTTTAAATAGCTCAGCAGCTCTTAATAAACGACACTCGCCATGATTTGTGATCACGAAGATGGCGGATGGCGACTCTTATGTGGACCCTTACGTGGCCATATTTTTCAATTTGAGCCGGTCTCCACGCAAACAGTCATAGCAAAAAGTAGAGGTCAACCTGTACTACACGTAGTTGAGTATCTTTACATGTATTTATTTAAAACGTTTTACATCCACGTGTTATTCAGTATCGTGAAACAATTGTGACTGTCACTTAAGATGCACACTTTTGATGTGTTTGTACATAGGTATTAGGCTTGGTTTTCGCAGATTACATTGATCGGTAGGGGTCTTCTTGTAGGTTAAGGGCAGCTGCGAATGGTGAGGAAGGCACACGCCATCTTATCGTTTCGCTTTCGGGTTGACAATTTATAGTCAGCTACCCTTGTTAACATTGGCCAGACTCAATCATTCGGAAGGGTGATGGCGCTAGGAGAGCCTAGACATATCACATTGGGGCTTCAATGCAGATTTCAACACGATTTCAACTTCTCGATTATATCAAGGCTCAGCTTGTGGAAGTGATTCAGGCCTTGGACGTTGAAAATGGAAACATACGATCATGATACAAATTGCACATTTAGCAAGCTTTTTCAGGAGATCAGCATGCGCCGTACATGACATACCCCTTTCTTGGCTAGGTATTCCATTCCTCTGGCAATACCCAATCCAAAGTTCTGAATCCGCTCCAAGGTGTCCACGTTGACATTGTCTCTGTGGTCTCTCAGCCATTTGTCCATTTGTCCGTTCTCGCAGTACTCTAACACCATCACAGGTCCCACTGGAAGAGAATAAAACGACCATCTAATTACAATCAAATATTTCGCTCCGATACACACCTCTCTGCCTTGGTCGCAGAAAGGATGTCACGTCACGTTAACTTTCTAATTTGCCAACCAATGTCGACGGTTATAAATAAACAAAGCATTCAGGCCATCATTTCCATTTTTTCTATCTTGAAAACGAAGTTAATAGACCTATTCCGCCCATTTTTTTGCCATCTACACCTAAAAGTGTACTATCGCCTAGAAACAATCAGGGCGATCAGATTGTAGTATGCTGTTGATCCCTCAGTTGGTTTTACCAGTATATATTCCACGTTACCGTTGGTACTTATGGATAGGCGTTAGTCGTTTACGTTTTCACTTACGAGCATCGTTGTTGAGAATAGCGCCCCGAAATCCCAGAACGTTGCGATGTTCCCCGACCTGTGTTGCAGCAAAGTTGATTTTGGCCATCATCAGCAAACTGTTTTCTTCATCTGGTGTTTCTGTGATAAAAATGTGTGTGTAATGATTCATTGCTAGGAGCTTGACACAAACCTATTTCATGTCTCAAATGGTACTGCTATGTCGTGGTACGGATTCTAAGGCTATGGTGATAGTGACCTTCACGACGGCAGCTTCCGACATGCTCACTGGCTGCACGAACAAACGATGTCATCAATGTAACTTAACAATGCTTCGTGGGTGTACAATTGTTCCTTCTCTTCTCTGTTCTGCTCTGTGCCTTTTCTTATAACAGAAAATCGAAATTGAACAGCCCGCAAACATTGACGTTTGCATTACAGTGATGATAATAAAAGCAAATGATTTACGTTTCGCTCAGGTCCAAATATCTACAGTTGTGGTGAAAGGCAGGCGAATGGAGTTGAAAAACAAGGATTAGATTTGGAACAGTTTGGACCCATTGTCAGTGAATCCCGGCACGACTAAGAGACGCAAATCGTGGCTTCTAGCACCACTGGGGTACCGAGTGCAAAATGAAACCTCGAGTGTCTTGTTCTCGACGCCCCCATGGAAACCCCAAAATGGGGAAAAAAGAACAACAATCCAACCACACAACCACCAAAATCCTTTATTTGAACAACCATCTAGACAGTGTTTGCATGTCTTACCTTTCAACACTTTGGCTGCCATCTCGCTCGATGTTTTGCCAGTCTTGTGAGACGCCCTGTAAATCCGTGCGAACCTGCCAGTGTTAATCTCCTTCATCAACGTCAGGTTGTCCTTGGGGATATACCAAGGCTGCTCCGCCGTGAACGACATGCTGCCGTACACATAGATGTCGTCGTCAACTTCATATGTTTTGTTCTGAAGAGAAAATAAACATATAGTTACAACAAATTGAGTAAGAAACAAATTTCACTTGCCGATGTTAAATAATAGCATACATACTAGTACATACAATAAATAGTACACCTAATAGTACACATACTAAATAGCACACATAATAGTACACCTAATAGTACACATCAATTTTAAAGTACACATAATAAATAATACACATAACAGTACACATAATAAATAGTACACATAATAGTACACATAATGAATGGAATATAGGTGACATACGTGCAGTTCGTTCCCGTTTTTGTATTCAGCTAGAATATTGCTTCTTTGAATGTTACATCTCGCTATCGAGGATCCATGTTCTAAAACCACAGCCTTCTTTTACGAAGCGAGTTTAGCCTTTGTTTGGGTCTGGACCAGACTAACCAGCGATTGACATAATAAACAACGTCCCACGTCGGAGTACAATGATACATTATCTATGATTATGGCTGCCAGACAAACAGCCGCTGTTTGGCTCTTTCATGTCATCGTTTATATACTTGTAAATGTTGCAATCACTCCCTATTAGAATTAACCAAATCCTGTCATGAGCCGTAATTTGCTGTGCAGAGTCGTTTTACTGCTGGCCATAGGTTCGAATCCAGGATTTGCCTTGAGGTTTATTCTTATTTTGTCAGCAGCATGTCCGTGTTTGGGGTAAAACTCTGGGACGTACATCACCTTTTCCAGTATTGAGCAGTCACGTGAGACCGCCTCCGTGGTGGTCTAGTGGTAGAGCGTCCGCCCGGAGAGCGGAAGGTCCGGGGTTCGATCCCTGGCCGCGTCATACCAAAAAACGTTAAAAGATGGTACTGGTTGTTACCCTGTCTGGCGCTCGGCACTAAGGGGCTAAAACAAGGACTGGTCGGCTCGGAGTCAGAATACTGTGTCTGAGTGGGGTATTCATCTTAAACTGCAGCATGGTATCTCAGTGTGCTAGCACTATAAATCGGCTTCAGTCCGGACTAGTACAAGCAGCCACACACGTACACACACACACGTGCATGCACGTCGCTATATAAGTGCAATAATCTTGGACGCGACGTTAAACCCCATTTCACCTCACCTAGCAGTCACGTCGTGATATAACGTAAGTACGAGATACTTTCCAAACAGCGTTAAACCTTACAAACTCTCCCTGTGAACATTCGTTTGTCTAACGTCCATGCCTGTGACTGAAGAAACCTTCACGATAGGACACTGTGCCCTTCCGAGGTCTCTGAAGGTTATTGTAGATGTTCTCAGTGTTGGGATTCTGACGTCCTTTGTGTCTGCTCTGACGTCGATTGATCAACGCCACCATCTTGCCCGTCCTCCACATAAACAGGCCAATGACAAGGACAGCTAGGATTATTATCACCACTGGTAAGAAAAGAAAAATGATCAAGGTTCGTACATGTTTGAGGTGTTGATATTTTGAAGTTATAATTACAGTATGCTATTATAGTTTTATAGTGCTATCATAATGGTTTTGTTGAACGCCGAAGTCAGCAATATTCCAAAATATCCACGGTGCATTCACCGATGCGTCATAGCTGGAAATGTCTACCATACCAACAAGTGAAAGCTTACTAAGGCCTTGGTATTTATTCTGATCAAAAAACATTTCTGCAAGAGTCGTCTTTGAAGGAAGGTGACTTTGGAATTTCAGTGAAAGGGATTTATTTATTCGCCTCTTACCACAGGCTGCAGAGGACCAATTCTAATCCGGGGCGGTTGGGTAGCCAAGTGGTTAAAGCGTTCGCTCGTCACGCCGAAGACCCGGGTTTGATTCCCCACATGGGTACAGTGTCACACATTGCCTATTTCTGGTGTCCGCCGCCGTGATATTGCTGGAATACTGCTAAACCATGCTCACTCATCCCATTCTAATCCGGAATCCCCACATGATGTAGATGTTATAGAAATAACATAATAAACAGTTTCTTAAGACAACAAACAGGATGCAGGTAAACCTCGTCAGCTCGAAATCTTTTGACTCGACATATCATTTAGACTTAATTCTACTCGTCACAATATTAATATCGACACAACGGATGAACTGATACTCGATATTCCTAGGGACTTAGACTTCTAATGAATGAAAAACCTTACACCTACCCACAACGATACCCACTTTGGCTCCAGCACCTAGACCTGAGGTGTCCCCTGAAAAAGCTGTGAAGATAATTAGTAAAAGTAAAAAGTAATTTGAATAATTAATATGTTATCCAAAAGTGTGTAATTTGTAAAGCAATATATAACTTTATATCAAATATAACTGACATGCACAACATTTGACTTACCCATTGTAAAAGAGGCATTTCTAGGTTTACTCTTGATGTCCCCATAGTCTGCTGTGACCATGACCTTGTACTTTTTGCCAGGTTCAAGGCCCTTGAGGAGATGGAATGTAGCGTCTTTGAAAAATTCAAAGTCAAGGTCAAAGTTGATTTGTACGAAGGCCAATATACAGTTTGTACATTGCAACATCAATTTGCACGTGTACAATTCCTACATGATATATCATGTTGATGCATGAAGTTTCAAAACTGGCAACGTAACTGTTACTCGCAATTTGCTGCAATACTTCTAACTGCGACTTCAAGCAATATTTACTGACGTATGTTATAAGTATAAATTGTCAGAACATAGATGAACCGTTAATCAAATTGCGATTTATTTTTGATGACATAATTGGTGGTTCTGAAGAAATCCAATCATATATCATCACAAGGGGACTTTATATAGAAATGCGGTGAACCCACAATCATGGCACGGCGCCTTAGGCGACTCCCCCCCCCCCCCCCCCCCCCCCCCACACACACACACACACACACACACACACACACACCGAGTTTAGTTTCTGATCCGGATCCCCTAGGAGTTCTTACCTTTGTACAGTTGGATGGTCTCTGGCTTGCCTGAATCGAGCTGGTATGTGACAGATATAAATGTGCGGTCATGGCAGCTGGGGGCGTGTGTCCACGACACATTGGCCGTCGTGTCAGTCAACTTTTCAACATTCACGTTCACTGGTCCAAAATCTGATAAACAATGAACAAATGTTAAACAAATTGTGTTGTTCTCATGTATACAAAAGCGCAGTTGTTCTGAGTGACACCACTGGGTCATGTGGCATGATCTTGCACCAACACGAAGAAAGACGTCATCGCGACTGGTAAAGAATTATGTGAAGTGACTGTTAAATGGTTTGTTTCCAAAAGATGAAGGATGGCCAGGTTAGCAAGATAATCGGATGTCAGCTTTCTAAAACTATTCGGCTCAAACTTCACTTCTTTACCATCTTGAATCGGAATTTCGAGTTTTACAGAAGGAAAACCAACATCAGAACCAAATATTCCTCGCAACTAGGTGTAGGTGACATGGAGCTCAGAAACGACAGGGTTATGGACTGTCCATAACGATATACTCGCGCGGCCTGAATTATTTACATTTGGACTTGAGCGTTTAAACTTCGGTTTCGAATTACAGAAAATCAGATATGCTTGTTTGTTCACTCGGACCGCGAATTTAGAAACCTTGACACTAATTGGCTGATCAGAAGACTCATATTCCTGTTGAGGTGTGGTCAGCTTTGCACGCAGAGAGGCATCGTGTCAGAGTAATTGGTCTGACATTAAAAAACTCGATTTGAAAACATTAGTTAAAAAACTCGATTTGTAAAAATATTGTAAAATGAAACACCCTAGCTATCAGTCACTGGAACGGTTTCAAGAACTTCCTTTTCAATCATTCGTCAAATAAATTACTCCCTGTGAATCAGGGAAGATTTATTAAAATCAAAACCCATCTACATTGATTGACTCACATGCTGATGTCCCATTAATATCCATGAGGTCTTGCACCTATGAACAGAAATATGACTTGAAAGTACCTTTCGTCGCCATGTTCGTGGATACTCCAACAAGAGCTGAGAATGCAAACTAAACCGATATGAGCTTGCATTATAAATCATTATATATTTGCAATTAAATGTCATAGACAAAAACTAAGGGAATTGATAAAATAATAGTGAATGTGTAATGGCAATCGATAAATTGGGGCTTGTAGATCAATATCTGTTGTGTCCTCAATGTTGGGCGATACATGCATGACACCTTGCTGGCATTCCGTTGAATAAAATGCGTACGATTGCCCTTGGTATTATCAGCCATTCCGACAAAAGAGCTACCCCAAGCTGGGTCTCTGGCGCACCATCTCCGCCCAAGTGAGTGAGTGAGTATGGTTTTATGCCGCTTTAAGCAATCTTCCAGCAATATCACGACAGAGGACACCAGAAATGGGCTTCACACATGTCAGGAATCGAACCCGGGTCTTCGGCGTGACGAGCTAACACTTTAACCACATGGCTACCCGACAGCCCCTCTCCGCCCAAGAACATGTCACACATGCTCTGTTGGGGCCATGTAAAGGGTCGTAGCGTGCCAGTGCTATGGCCGTATGATTTCAAGTTGGGATCATCGGTGACGACCTTGGCATTATGTAGTCTGGCATTGCCATCTTGCACTTCAAAATGTCCACCGATAATTCCGACGAAAGGAACAAAGAAAGGACGAAAATTTTCGTCAACATACCGCTGGCCTGTCAAATGTCCTTTCACAATAACTGAATAAGTTTGTCTATCATGTGTGATACCACCACACACCATGACACCGTCCCCATAGCGATCATGGTCAAGGTATTGTCAACATTACACACCGCTCGCCGCTACCTACGTCGCCAAAACGTTTACTGTCATTTATGAATCGGAGGTAAAACCTTGAAACATGGTGTAAGGGTCACAAAGCCCGTCCCTGGTGTTGCCTAGCGCACCCAAATCTTTGCCACCAATGGTAAACTGTTAGGATCACACCCTTCACGGGACGGCTTGCTTACAGGCTTTTTAACGGTAGATGTTGAAATTCGCCTTGTATTTCTCTATTGATACCAGGAGCAGATATGAATATATTGCGTAGTGTAATTAATGTTATGAGGGATCATGTCTAGGTTTCACCTTGAGGTCTCAGTGCAACCCCATCCGTTTGACCCTACTTGCCTCATACCGAAAATTGACACTTTTTGTTCATTTGCTAGCATGAGGAATTGATGTCTCGTAAAGCGGCGCAAAACCATACTCACTGACTCACTATAGTTTCTGACTGCCTCCGCGGTCTCTTGGTAGAGCGTCCGCCCGGAGAGCGGAATGTCCGGTTTTTGATACCCGCCCGCGTCATACCAAATAACGTTCAAAGATGGCACTTGTTGTTACCAAGCTGGCGTTCGGCATTAAGGGACTAACACAAGGACTGGTCGGCACGGAGTCAATATACTGTGTCTGAGTGGGGTATTCATGTTAAACTGCAGCATGGTATCTCAGTGGGATAACACTAATAGATCGACAGTACAAGCACCCACACACACGCGCGCGCTCACACACACACACACGTGCATGGTTGCATCACTTCTGGTTAGGTAGGACACATACCCAATGCTGCACAACTTTGACACATAATGCCTCAAGCTCCTTTAATATTTTTTTTACTTCCGGTTTTAACAACACCACTTCCGGTTTGATAAAATACCTGCTTATGCAAGATATCTTGAATCAGAAAGTCCCATGTCTCTGGCTACATTGATATTCACTTGACACGGATGGCTCAATTATATTTGCACTATGCAGTCCCATGTCTCTAGCCACATTAATATTCACTTGACACGTATGGCTCAATTATATTTGCACTATGCAGTCCCATGTCTCTATCCACATTAATATTCACTTGGTACGTATGGCTCAATTATATTTGCACTATGCAGTCCCATGTCTCTAGCCACATTAATACTCACTTGACACGAATGGCTCAATTATATTTGCACTATGCAGTCCCATGTCTCTAGCCACATTAATACTCACTTGACACGTATGGCTCAATTATATTTGCACTATGCAGTCCCATGTCTCTAGTCACACTAATAGTTACTTGACACGTATGGTTCAATTATATTTGCACTGTGCAGTCCCATGTCTCTAGCCACATTAATACTCACTTGACACGTATGGCTCAATTATATTTGCACTATGCAGTCCCATGTCTCTATCCACATTAATATTCACTTGGCACGTATGGCTCAATTATATTTGCACTATGCAGTCCCATGTCTCTAGCCACATTAATACTCACGTGACACGTATGGCTCAATTATATTTGCACTATGCAGTCCCATGTCTCTAGTCACACTAATAGTCACTTGACCCGATGGTTCAATTATATTTGCACTGTGCAGTCCCATGTCTCTATCCACATTAATATTCACTTGGCACCTATGGCTCAATTATATTTGCACTATGCAGTCCCATGTCTCTAGCCACATTAATACTCACTTGACACGTATGGCTCAATTATATTTGCACTATGCAGTCCCATGTCTCTAGCCACATTAATACTCACTTGACACGTATGGCTCAATTATATTTGCACTAAGCAGTCCCATGTCTCTAGCCACATTAATACTCACTTGACACGTATGGCTCAATTATATTTGCACTATGCAGTCCCATGTCTCTAGCCACATTAATACTCACTTGACACGTATGGTTCGATTATATTTGCACTGTGCAGTCCCATGTCTCTCTCCACATTAATACTCACTTGACACGTATGGCTCAATTATCTTTGCACTATGCAGTCCCATGTCTCTAGCCGCATTAATACTCACTTGACACGTATGGTTCGATTATATTTGCACTGTGCAGTCCCATGTCTCTAGCCACATTAATAAGAACGTTCCATGCACCTCCCTTTTAAAACCTTCACTTCTGGCCAAGCAATTTTTTCAAGTCACTGATCTTTAAAGATGACATGTCAATATGCCAAGTTGCCAAGGTATCGCATGGTTTCAAACACGAAACGGTGTATGCCACAAAGTTAAAATTGGTAAACTAAACCTACCTCTGATATAATAAGACTGGCATACACTTGTCACACATAAGTATGCAAATAATATAAACACTACCTGCATGGAACTCGTTTTACTTGGACCCTTGACATGAATGGACAATGCTGTAGTGAGTGAGTATGGTTTTACGCCGCTTTTAGCAATATTCCAGCAGTATCACGGCGGGGGACACCAGAAATGGGCTTCACACATGTCGGGAATCAAACCCGGGTCTTCGGCGTGACGAGCGAACGCTTTAACCACTAGGCTACCCGACCCGTCCGACAATGCTGTAAAGGTGCTATACATGATATGATATCTCTGAGATGTCAAAGCGCCGCATGGTGCAGAAAAGTCAGGCGGCGGCGGTCAAATTCAGACAAAACCTTTAAAATCGACATTTACATGGAGCTAATTAATTACATCTATCGCTTCACATATGCTTTTAACAGTTACTCACCACGTGCACTCTGGGGATGGGTGTCTTCAGCCCCGCCCTGTTGACTACGACCACCTCCAGCTTAACGTGAGCTGACTCGAGATCCTCCTTGGCCACCATCAGCCAGCAGTTGCTGATGTACAGTTTGTACACCCGTTTGTAACACACGTTCAGGGCTTTTGGACAGTAGCAGCTAGATGGTTTGTTTAAACATGCATACATCTGAAACATCAAATTTGTTCATGAATACCACAGAGATTCATTATAAACAGTGGAACCAATCCGGTTAAGTAGAAAAGAGTGATGATAATATACGAATAACAGTATGACAGTTTTTACACAAACTGATATTATTAAGGACGTAAAAGGAGATAATTTAGCCCATTAAGTTTATGTACATTTCCCGCATCACATAAATTCAAGTCTTTACATAAGATGTGTCCATTCTGCAAATTGTACACATGGTTGAGACATGGTTGATTTGTTACTTCCACAGAGATGGTTCGGTACACATACCACTGCTGTTACGGGGATTGTAACTCAGCTTGAACCCATAGTCTATCATGTACTGCATGTCTTCATTGATACTAAAGTGTTCTTTACGGTGATTGAGAAAGGTTTCACGACGCTTCCAGCACAACTCGATATCACATACAAAATTTGGTTTCAGACATTTCATACTTGTTGAGAACAGAACACTTTTACCACCAGGTTACCAAAATGCCTCAAACATCCACTTTAAGATATTGATGCCTACTTTTGTTATGATGTACTATGAAACCGAGTCCGGTCCACATGTACAATATTCCGCACACCAAACTTCCAGCCGATTAACGTTGTAAACATGTACATGTATATACTTGTTCATTAATCCAGGATATGTTTTTCAAATCCAACCGATTTTACTAGCAATGGTACAGTCAACGAAAATATCACGGAATGTCAGTTTCTTACATGTATACTGGAACTGACCATCAATAAGAACATGGTCCTGAGTGAACGTCGCCACTTTTAGCAATTAGATGTTTAGCAACATCCAGTGATTATTTAACGGCTGTACTGATTGTAGGGTGTATGCATATTTCCAGTGTTGATAGAAAATATAAGTACGTACAGAAACTGATGGCACGGTCAAGGTCTTGTTCGTCATTACGTGACCGTCATCCATCTGCGTGACCTTGACCTCGGCGTGTTCAATGCCGCTCTCAAGGTCCTGTACCGTCAACTCTAATCTGAAACAAATGATACATAACATAACATAAATCTACCACAATAACTCTCAGAATGAAGAAACCGTTTATCTATCGAACAAACCGCCACGTTCATTTGCAACAGCACGGACGGTATTAAACTTTTTTTCCATATGAGTCAAATATTCAACGAATCCGATTTGCACGTATAAAACATGAAATATTTTGAAATGCATACTTTTACTCACAAAAATGTAAAAATGTTTGCAAATATTGTCCTTATAAGCATGAATAACTGTTCTAAATATGACAAGTCTAAAATCTTAAAAATTGCTGTTACTACATATTTGCATGAATGATTGTTGTAAATATGACATATTTACATGCATGAACAATTGTTGTTCATGAAATATTCTCAAGCCTGGTGAGGCGGTAGCGTAGCCTGATCAATAAAGCGTACGCTTGTCATGGCGAAGTTCCGGTGTCGATTCCCCACATGGCTACAATGTGTGAAGTCCATCCATGGTGTCCTCCGCCATTATATAGGTGGAATATTGTTAAAAGCGGCGTAAGACCATACTCACTCACTCACTAACAAGTATGGTACAAATATGGCAAGTGTTCCCTTAACAGATACGCATTTGCAGTGAATGAGACATGTTTGGTAGCTGCATTAGTGCAGGCTAAGGGTAAATAAATAGTGCATGTAAACATTGTCTCATCATGCTTACCCTGAACTGAAGGGGATGTTTGATATCTCGTTTCGAAGGAATGTCATCTTACTGAACTGTGGCTCCGTGAAGTCATAGGTGACACTTGTCGAGTCCACTTTCTTGTTGTCCAGAATGTCCCTGGCTCTCACCCAAATCGTAACAGTGCTCCCGCTGGTAACGTTTTCTGAAACCCAACGATAAAACTTGAGGTATACTTTATACTCATTTAGTTTTGGAGCTTGAATGTTCTGAAACTGATTGTGTCAGTCCAGCATTAACAACGAATATTATACTGTGACAATTCTATTCACTAGTTTTAAGAAAAAACAATTCTTCCTGAAAACAGTAAGCACATTATTCCTCTTGTCAGTTTTGATGTCTTCGGAGCTATTAAATCGGTATGGTTTATTTTATTTTCATAAAGGTTTCTTTTGAATTTACAGGATGCCAAATATGAAAATAAATTTAATTTAAAAAAATTGTCAGTAGATTTCCGTTTACATGTTGATTTATATTCTGGCTATGGATCAAGTTATGTCAAGACATTTACTCGAAGTTGTGATGCTACATAACACATTTGTCATAATACCACAGAGGCTTGACATTTTACCTTGAGGTAAGTGTAAAGTAGTGTTCAAACCGGATATATCATCCCAGTTGGGAGGCGTCTGTTGTGTTATACCTCCTGTCTTGTTGACAGCATGGGTCCACTCAAACCTCACGACACCTCTCAAATTGGGGATGGCCGCTGTGCGTCTTCTACCATACTTATCATCATTCCCTTGGATCACTTGCTTGTAGATTGGCGGGTCTTGCACAATCTGTTTTTTGAGGGGCAGGATTCTGTTGAGATATTTACCATTTTCGTGAACATAGTTGCGAAAATGGTTTTGCCAGATGATGACAAGTGGTTTGGAGGCATTAGTCATCCACTGGAAGCCCTGGTCTTGTACAGCAGTTGATATGTACATGGCGTACTTTGGGTCAGTAGTAACAGATGACTCTTTGTCACACAGGGCAAACCGTCTCATGTATACAGAGTTATTGGCCTTGTCAACAGCTTCAAGGATGAAGGAATACATCCCTGGTTTTTCTGGAAGAAAGGGCACAGGGAAGGATATAGGAGAGGTGTGTTTCACTTCTCCATGGTTTACAGGTCCTGTCAGCTCCGACAGCGCTCCTCCAGTACTAGGTTGGAGTTTGAAGACTTCCCATTTGTATTTGTTCATTCCAGAATTAGCATCAGTCCAGCCTCGCCAATTCAAAGTGATGTGATCCTGTGATTACAAAGAATAACACGTCAGTCGTTTCCATTAGATTCTAGGGGCATTTGCTTCACGTGATAGAAGACGATGATCAAGATGATGGATGTTGTAATCTTTTTTTGCCTTTTCTCGTACGACTCGTATATAACTCAGTCGTGTCAGTAATCGTAATGAAAATATGTTTCAATTGTTTGTATTACAGAAGGAAAGATGAAAGCCAAACGTTACGTCCATTCTAATTTAACCTATGATGGAACTTGTTTTCTTTACTGACATAATATAAGATTCTCGACGGCAGGAAATATGCGAGAAACGACAATTACTTAACAGTTTCTAGTCCACAAAGGAAGATAGTCTAAAACCTGGTAGAACTGTCGTATGTGCCAGCTGGCATCGTTTGAGCTGTAAATATATAGCATATCATTTCCACGACCAAACAGAATCACTATGTTGCTTTTGGTACTAAGGAGAACAAAGTAGACATTGACATCCAAGAAAACATTACTTCTGTGATTCCAAAATGACATAACTAAGTAGTCAGTGTTATTTAGAATTACAGATCAGATATCTACTGTTAATTATGTTACCTTTGTAAATTCGGGAGTAATACGAAACGCAGTGTCGGGGTCGTTGTTTATAGGCTCCACCAAGTCAATGTTAAAGGCCACAGAACTGACTGTATCTTTCCCTATGTAATTCTCAGTAGCTGTCACGCGTCCACTTCCGGTGTCGTACAATTTCCGGAAGCCACCACTTGACACCCGGAATGTAATCGTCAACCTAGATAGTAACGTTATGTGTTCAGATTGTGCAGTAGGACATGTAGGTGCTGTGGAACTCTATTAATCAGGGTGGTAGCATTCTGAGTTAAGTTGCCCTGTGAGGGATGTTCATATTTCGTAATTAATTGAACATTTTACGGAGTAATGGCACACTGACTGCATGTAGACATTTCTAACAGTAATCGCCTGGACAGTTGTGTTTCTGGATTCGCGGGTTTTTACTGTATGAGTGAGTGAGGGTTTGGGGAGATCTGCAATAAGTACGTGATAGAGATTTGAGTAGATAAACCACTGCACTGAAACATCACAAAATCACTCGGTAGAAAGTAAATTTTAAATTTTAAAAATACCATAATTATTAAGATATTTTTGAGAAAAAAATCTTTGAACACATGTGGGATCCTTCTAACCCTGGTACTGCCTAAACCCAGAATAGTCTAAATCATTGAAAGTTATGTTTTTCTATTGATAACAATAAGATCAAGTCCACAGTGGAGCCGTAAAGTGTATATACATAGTTCTCATGATGTGTGAATACAGTACTGTACTAATGCCACTAACAGGCTATATCAGTCGTTTTGGAACACTTTGTTTGGACAATTTTAAAAGTATGTTGATTCAAAATGTATTCATCAAATGATAGTCGAAAACTTTCGACCATATCCGAAAATAATATTCTTTTGATTTGTAATATAAACACAATAGCGTGTATAATACAGTACTCAAACAATCAGATGTGTTATCATACTTTAACTTACTTGTCACCATCATGTAAACGGTTAGTGTACTGTGTTTTGACGGAGCATGTAATTATATCTTTAGGGTCCTGGGAACCGACTGTATTATCACACGTGTGGTCGGAGGGGGCGGATGTTACCAAGGGTCCACCTAGGTAGGGCAAAACATAAAACAACATCTTAAATTGAGAGTAACACTGTCCATGCAACATGCAAACAAAGGAATATTAACACTAACACTTAATTTACTACATATTTTCCTATTACAAACACTTTAGACATTTTAGACATTTAGTGTAGTTGAAGATTTGTTCCATTTTTGACTGAGTGGGACACCAACGCAAACTTAAGGAGTTAAATTGTGGTTAAATAATACAAATGAAGAGTATTCCTTTTCATCTGATATCATAATCATCCATAGTTTTTCATTCCTACACTTTCAGCAAGTAAGTCTAGTCTTTGGATGGAGTTATTAGGGACACGAGTTTACAACGTTATATCCTAGAGACATAGATCTGATAGTCAGCAAATCTCCAACTGAACTAAAGATCTTTTTATACAAGAACTGCGACTTGAAGTTTCATGGAAGTGGACATCCATGTGATTGCTCACTTAATGTAACATAGGCTCTGGAAATTCCAAGACGTGATCCCCTGATGTAAGAAGGGGGTGCTGGAAGATCTCTACATTCGGACATCGCACTTGCAGTCACAGTAAGGTTATTCAGCCTGTCTAGGTTTGTCCAGATGGTGGCGTGTTCTGGCTTCCCTGAACTGTCCGCTATGACGCCATAGATTTCCTCCTGTCCCTTGTGGTAGGAAAAGCTGGCCTGAAGCTGTGTCACCTTAGGTGCCTGTACAGCTTTCACTACATAGAAACATACAATTTGAAATTACACATCAGTGTGATCAAATAGTGGTAACTCATGCAGTGTGTCAACATGCCTCAATGGAATAAACAAAAGCATTTCGAGAAGTACACACCCGATCCTAAGAGGAAACATAGTCAACATGAAATTCAATATCATTTGTCACTGGTCATGAATACCAGATAATTCTTTTTGAAATGTTTATGGTGAAGACTTATCGAGAAATTCATCGATATTATGTATACACAATCCTTATGACTCATCTTTACTTACACTCCTTGCAAAATAATCCAGTGAAGTCGTCCATGCAGTTGCATACAACGGAGGCGCCGTTACCTGTGCATTGCCCAGGAAAACATGGACGTTCGTGGTTACAGTCCTCTGAAATAAATACACAACATCATGCAAAAGGTAACCTCTGTTGGATCTAAGGCTTGAATAGCTGTGAAGTTACAATATGCTTGTCGGCTGGTCAGGCTCGACAACATGGATATTTGTGTGTCACACGACTCCAATGGCATTGGACGTTGTTGATAATGAGTCAATGCCTTTCCTTGTCTAGACTCACTTATTTACGTGCCGAACTTACGAGACACTTTGTTGTTTGTGTTAAACAACAAAGAAAGGGACATCAATTTAACCAATACTATTACATACATGTATATATAAAGACATATAGAAACGTGTCAATCTTTTGGAAGATGTGATGTAACAACAAAAGTGTTCAAGAGGGTTGATAAAGCCAACTAAGTCCCTGTATAAATAAAACGTTTTGGTGACTTCCATACACAAAGTAGTGATACTTGTTTAAAGGGTGTTATTTTAAGATATGTGTTGTCTTCAGTATTTTGAAGACATGTCGGTGTGCCAACAGCATTCTCATCAATATGATAGATATACGCAGTAGATGAGGGTTCCTTTAAACTGTGAGGTAATCAGCTAAAATGGGGTGTAACGTGAAAGATTATTGTATCATAGAGCGACCGGCATGTGTTTGCGTTCATGTACGTGTGTATGTGTTTGCGTGTGAATGGCCGCTTGCAATAGTCCGGACTAATGCCGGTTTTATAGTGCATCCCACTGAGGTACCATGTTTAACTCAGAAACAGTATCCTGAATAAGAACCGGTCGGTTTTTGTTTATTCCCTTAATGCCGAGTGCCAGGTAGGGTAACAGCAAGTACAATCATTTAAATACTTTTGGTATGACGAGGCCGAGGATTGAACCAACGCTCTCCAGGCAGACGCTCTATACACCAGATCACGGGACGTCTCTTTTAAACGAGTTACACAATGAGTCTTTAAAAATAACGACAGTAAATTTAGGGCCAGTTGAATGCAGAGGAATGTAACAGGACCAGTTTTACGATCAGAGTGACATGCCCCTATTTCTGACATACATAAACGTCTGATAAGAAGACGAATGCGCTTGCATAGGGATAGGGGTCGATGTCTACCTTTGGCCTTTAAGTCAGGATCATACCACCAAAAGTATTTCACATCAGTCAATATCATGTACATTGCTCCTTCCCTTAGCCCCAGCCTCGTGATTCTTGAAGAGGACTAAATTCGTTTCAGAATCAAGATGAAGGCACTGTATGATAATTAATAATATTAGTCTCTACTTAATAATGTTCACATGGTCTTAAAATACAGAGGTCTTTCGTGTTGATATCAACATACATTTGCACGAAAGAGTACTCAGTTATATGAAGTCAATCTGTAAATAATCGAGCCTGACAACACAGTCCGTTTAACCCGCCTTCGACAAGCAAATGTTGCTGGGGACCTCTAAGTTTACCCGGAATCACAATGGGTCGTTACCGAAGAGAATGAAGGTGCTTTGTTCAAAACGAACCCTTTCTTTATGTCATATTCAGTGGCACATTGTTAGGACAAGGGGTGCGTTCAGCCATTACGGGTATGTTACTGAAGATACATGTACACATGTTAATGGTAATTGTGTAAACCTGTACGGGTAAGTGTGTACATCTTGTACTGGCAATTGTGTACACCTGGTAATTGTAATTGTGTACATCTGTACGGGTAATTGTGTAATCTTTTACTGGTAATTGTGTACACCTGGAACTGGTAATTGTGTAATCTTGTACTCGTGATCGTGTACACCTGGCACCTGTAATTGTGCGCACCGTTACGGATAACTGTGTAATATTGGACTGGTAATTGTGTGCACCTGGTATTTGTAATTGTGTATATCTGTACGGGTAACTGTGTAATCTTGTACTGGTAATTGTGCACACCTGTCACTTGTAATTGTGTGCACCGTTACGGGTAATTATGTAATATTGTACTGGTAATTGTGTGCACCTGGTACTTGTAATTGTGTGCATATGTACGGGTAATTATGTAATCTTGTACTGGTAATTGTGTGCACCTGGTACTTGTAATTGTGCGCACCGTTACGGTTAAATGTGTACATCTGGTACTGGTAATAGTGTACAACTATACTGGTAATTGTGTGCACCTGGTACAGGTAATTGTGCATGCGGTTACCAGTAGTGTGTGCACCTGGTAATGGTAACTGTGTACAAAGGGTACAGGTAATTATGTACACCTGGTACTTGTAATTCTGTGCACCGTTAAGGGTAATTTTGTACAATTTGTACTGGTAAATCTGTACATATCTTGTACTGATAATTGTGTACACTTGTACTGGTTATTGATAGATAGTATTTTTTTGAAAACACAAAATTACTAGTTTTTCAGCGACCCTTCGAACTACAGTACGTCCCATACATGAAAACTGACAGCTATATTTCCCGTAAATGTGTGTGCGTGCGCGTGCGTGCGCGTGCTAGACTGGACTAATGCCGGTTTTAAAGTACTAGCCCTCTGAGATACCAACAAACTGACTCAGAGCCGACCAGTCCTTGTTTTATCCCGTTAATGGCGACCGCGAGGCTAGATAAAACCAAGCACCATCTTTTTAACTTATTTTGGTGTGACGCGGCCTGGGATCGAACCTACGAGCTTACGCTCTCCAGGCCGGAGCTCTGGCAACTAAACAACGGAGGTGTAGTCCTTTAAACGAGTTTCACATTGAGTCAATGGTCTCTAAAGAAAATATAGGGTTCGTTGTATGCAGAGTCATGTCACATGACTAGATTTCTGATAAGCCTGACATATCGCTATTTCTGACATATACAAATATTACTGATAAGAAGACCCACGCTCTTGCACAGGGACAGGGGTCGAAGTCTACTTTGTATTATCAATTCAGGATCATACCACCAATAGTGTATCTCAACAGTCAATATGCATGTCCCCTTTCTTTTAACCCAGCCACGTAATTCGTTTCAGATGCCAGATCAAGGCATTGTATAATAATTAATAAAACTAGTCACTTTTAAATCATGTCCAAATGATCTACAAATCCGGAGATCTTTCTGTCCAGATCCGATATATGCTAGATAATGCTATATGTGAATTTCCGTCTCGAAAGATTTGGCCCTGGCATTGTTATCACAGATATTTTTTATTATTTTTTGGGGGTTGGTTTATTTTTGTTCTTTAACATCGTACTCTGGCAACTGAATATTCACATAAATGATGACAGAATGTACCCCCTGTAAAGGATAGCAAAATATCCCGTAACTGGTAACAAAATATCCCGTTAATGTCAACAAAATTACGCGGAAAATATAACAGAATATGTCGTAAATGAGGCAAGAATGCCTCGTAAATGATAACACAATATTCTGATTGGCATGCGCAGATAACAGAATCTGGTATTGGTGGAGTGAAAAGATTACTAAAATTAGTTCCTGGTGAAGGTCGAGAGTCAATGCAGACAGGATGAACTATCCATTACTTCACATCTTATGACACAAACCCTACACCAACCGACTGTAACAAAATGTGTTGTGATCTCTTACATTGATCTTCCAACTTTACACATGGAACCTACCTCCAGTACATGTGTCGCCAGTATATCCCGCCCTACAGGTACAATTGCCGGGGGAGGTGCAGGTACCGCCATTAGCACACCCGGGGTAGCATTGAGCTGTAAAACATGTAAAATGTATCAACACATGAGATGAATTGATGACTGGCAAGGACGGAATAGTACATGTCCAGATTTGGACAAGTAAATCGACATCGAAAAAGTCAAACATTTTGTGTTATGTTTGTGAATTTGTTGTTCAACGCCACACTCGCGGCCTGTAAATAATCGAATCCGGACCAGACAATCCAGTGATTGATATATAAGCAACAAACCACAATGTCAGTGACCGGTTTGTCTCTTCAATGCTATCACTTACAGGCCACTGTGATAGAGCTGGAGTTTTGCTGAGTGCGGCGATATAAAACTTAACCAAACAAAAAAGTATCGATTATTTAGCTGATCGCGATTATATTAATTTATATAAACCATGAACAAAACATAAATACACATATATCTTAATATATGAATGCATTCATACATTACTCCACCTTCCCCGGGAACACAAATAGAGTTGTAGGGAATAACAAGGATTTTGTTAAAGATCGGTTTGTAGTGGCTATATAATCGCCTACATAAATGATGGGACTATTGGCTGACGATAGTCACGTATGAACTTGTGGATTCACTGTAGAGTAGATGTGAACAGTATCAATCACAGTTATGTAACCTCACCAATATTACAATTGTTATCGCGGTTGTGTCTCCAACCAGGACAACACTTATAAGCCGTGGTTGTAACTGGTGTTTGGATAACTTCATGATCACAGCAACTGTAACAAATAAGACCAGATTGGTATAAATTTGTATAAAACTACTTTGTATCTTCTCTTACAAGCAACGTACGAGTACATCCACTGTTTATCCGTTCAAGACCTCATATTTCAACAGGAACCTCACCAATATCCCTCTTTAAAATTGTGGTGCGTAAATAATCCCTTCTGCACCAGACAATCCATTGATTGATATTATGAGCCACGTTTGAGCCACGTGGTCGGGAAAGGATGACACGTCATCAACCAAGTCACCATTCCTGACCACCCGATCCATTCAGTCGCGTCGTACATGCATAATACAAGTTGTGGGTGACCAATTGTAACCCGGATTTCCAAGTGGGGTCATCTGACGAGCACTGGAGGTTACCTGCCCTATGTCAGAGGTTTTCTTGCAAAAACCCATGCCAGGGATACATTGTAGATCAGGTGAATTGTTTCATCATAGGACCCGTGGGGATTCCTAGTAAGAATAGAGGTCCCCAGGAACCCTTGCTTGTCGTGACTGAAAGAACAGGTGGTCAGGCTCAGTGACTTGGTTGTTTGCAAGTCATCGTATCCCAATTGCATTTGTCAGTGCACATTTTGTCAGTCACCGGATTATCTAATCCAGACTGACGTTACGTGACTGGGCCTTGGTAAGTCCGGCATTGAATAGAAAACAAACATATGGTATTACTGTTCTAATAGCCATGCAAAATATATGTTATGCAACGTGTGGCTGTCAATATTTAGTGATGTTAAGTAAAGTTTAGGAAACGACTTACTGCCACCAACAATGATACGTGCAGATTGTTGTGCTCACGTAGGACACCGTCTGGTATGGACACACGTGTCTGAAAGTAACGAATTATTGCTTAGAATCAAAAGATACCGCTGTATCAAATTTCTTAAATTTTGTATCTTAATTCAAAGGGAGGCGTATGTCACTCCCCTAGTTTGAATATGAATAAACATATATTCAATTAACAAAATAACAATGTTAAGAATGTATACAGGTCCATCTGCAGCCAAAGTAATTACCTGTTCAATCTTATTAAAAGCACATATCGATATATACTTTGATATGATTACACTAACATTTGTTAAAGAGTAATTATAATACCTAACAGATGTATGCTCGTTAAGGAAGATACTCGGTGGATGTACACACTAATTAAGGCTACATGACAAACAAATATATGCAATAACGGAGACAATAAATACAGCATACATCATCAATTTTGTTTTTAAATTTATCAGCGTTATCTATATCATACATCACCCGAAAGTAATAGATATCTTATATAAATGTAAGTTAAAGTTAGATAAGTTCAAATGTGGGGAAAACAATGGAAAATGAATTGGTAATAAGCTGTTCAAACATTCAGTCCAGGTAGGTTGCAAGGCGACCACCTGCCTGCGATATGAAGCTGCTTTTAAGCAACTGCATTACAACTTATGCTCATATATTGTATAACACTGATTATGAAACCTATCTTGTGCTTGATGAATGGAATGACGACTCGTTATTAATTAACATTTCAAACAGAGTGTGATAGAAAGTCATGCATCATTAGAAGGACAACGATTGAATAGAGGTTTGACATAAAGATTGAATAGAGGTTTGACCTAAAGATTGAATAGAGGATTGACATAAAGATTGAAAAGAGGATTGACGTAAAGATTGAATAGGGATTGACATAAAGATTGAATAGAGGATTGACATGATGATTGAAAAGAGGTTTTGTACAATAACTGTTAACTTTTAACAAATGGTTACGATGTCGGTACTAGTTTGAAAATTTATAAATGTGCAATGATATATATATTGATATATATATATATATATATTCTTCGAACAAACTTGCGCAAAATCATATAAAATCAAATCAAAGAACTTACCCGGTCCATTGCAAAGAATAAGGAACAGAAACACATAATAGCAAAACTACATATAATTTTGCATCCATCCTTGTGACGCAAGAGAATGGGTAGGTTGGCCGTGTTATATAGTGTTGAACAAGGAAGTAAGAAAGCAGTTGATATCTGATAACACTGAGACGTTGTGCCCCCGAATATTTGCTTAAGACGGCAAGATAAGCTACCTTTTCAGTCATGACAAAGGTCAATCCGTGCTACCTATTTCAATAATGACAAACGTTAATTAGTGCTACAATTCTTTTTAATGTCAAATGTTGGTGCTGTTTTTCTAAGTGATGGCAAATGTTAGTCCCCTTTTTTCAGTAATGTGTAATCTTAGTGTTGTCTTTTTCAGCAATGGCAAATGTTAGTGTTACCTAATTCAGCAGTCGCTAAAGTGTTATGTTTTCTTACCTATCTTGCTAAACATGTACATCAGCAGAAGGATACTTTTAAATTGTTCAATTTTTGGATTCCAACAGCGAAAGACAAAATGAGAATGTTTTAACCGCACTATGTTTTGTCAATGAGAAGAATGAAAAAGGTACAAAAATAACAACTAGAATATTTAACATTGAGATCTCTAATCAGAACTAGTTTCACCAGTCTGAGCCATGGAAATATTTGTACAACCTATTTTGATTTCTGTGCACACGCTAAACTATGAGTCAGGGTAGGCCTTTGTCGCTAAGCAGAGAGAGTTCCCGGGGTGTTTGGGGATTTTGCCTTCAAGAGTGATTGATAAGTTTGTGTGGGGACCGTTGTCCCGCAAAACAGCCAGTTTCCGGATATTGAAGAGTTACTTCCCCTGGATACTATGTAATGGGTCGATCTGTGGTTTTTTACGACAATCTCACTTGCGTCTTACTGTTCGAATTGGACTCAAGATGACAGTGGTGGTGGTGAATGGGCCCAGGGTAGATTTTGTGATAGAATGTAGGTATGATACGCTTTAAAATCGAGGATGAATCTATGAGACTAGATCCTCGATGGTGCTTTGTAAATGATGCCTGAGAGCTGGATCTAAAATATGTTACTTTTTATCTATTCGAAAAAAGTATACCAATTTCCGGATTTTGAAGAGTTACCTCCCCTGGATACTCTATAATGGGTCGACCAATGTTTTATTACGACAATCTTACAGGAGCTTAACTTGCTGTGGACAACATTAAACGCATCAATGAAAATATTCGTTTGATCAGAATTAGTTTTCAGGAATAGTCATGGGCTACAAGTTTAACCACATTGGCACAGGTGCTTGGTTGCGAAGACACCATGAGAAAACCATTCAAGGCATCAATAGCGAATTTCTTAAAAACTGGCAGATTCCAGCTTGAGATATATCTCAAAGATAACACCTGACGGAGGAGATATTGCGGTATTATGGAACGTTCAGCTTCCAAAGGCTCTTGTCTAAATACTTTTGACTGGATAACATCAAGCGAAACTTTGAGGCATTTATAAAAAGACATGATAACCATAGTCCAACCTTGGTAACCTCAGTGACTTATATATATGCGACATGGAGGACTTATTTTTGTCTTAGATACAGATTTAATGAGATGTATCATTTGGTTATATTTAGCAGCTGTGTGTACAATGTGTTTGAACCATGTTAGCCTCTGAAAAAATTGAGTTCAGATATAGAAAATTGGATCAGGCGCAAGATTGAATTTAATTTGTGTGATCTTCATTCTTGTAATTATAAGAACAGAGCTACTTATTTTGAAATCATCAATAATGGATAAACACAGTTCAGGACTTATAATACGTCCTTGATGGGTGCCATTTTTAAAAATGCCCATTCTTGTTTGATAGAAACGAACAAATCCGACGAAACATTACATTTCACACCAAGTTGGTGTCCCTTAAAAAGTAATATTCGTCTACAAAGCATATATTACGCCTTTCAATGTAAAGGAATACACTTAACATACGTTCCTGACTGCCAATGTACATGTATTTCAAAGTACTTCAGATTGCAAACATACTACTAAGTTGTTGTTCTTTTTAAGATCGTCTATTCTTAACACCTGATTGTGTTTTAGAACATATTGCTCTCAAGAAGTTTCAGGTGACTATTTTGCCCATGATTTTCCACAGGTAGATGTTATAAGTATCTGTCTGTATGAAGTTTGGGGACAGGAATAACCAACACATGTGTGAGTGTTTGTATGTGTGTGTAGAAAAGAGTATGGGTGTTAATGTCTGTCTATGTGTGAGTGTTTGTATGTGCGTGTGGAAGGGAGTATGGGTGTTGGTGTCTGTCTATGTGTGAGTGTTTGTATGTGTGTGTGGAAGGGTGTATGGGTGTTGGTGTCTGTCTATGTGTGAGTGTTTGTACATGCGTGTGGAAGGGAGTATGGGTGTTAGTGTCTGTCTATGTGTGAGTGTTTGTATGTGTGTGTGAAAGGGAGTATGGGTGTTGGTGTCTGTCTATGTGTAAGTGTTTGTATGTGTGTGTGGAAAGGAGTATGGGTGTGGGTGATTGTGCCTGTCTATGTGTGAGTGTTTGTATGTGTGTGTGTTGAATGGGGTATGGGTGTTGGTGTATGTATATGTGTGAGTGTTTGTATGTGTGTGTGGAAGGGAGTATGGGTGTTGGTGTCTGTCTATGTGTTAGTGTTTGTATGTGCGTGTGGAAGGGAGTATGGGTGTGGTGTCTGTCTATGTGTGAGTGTTTGTATGTGTGTGTGGAAGGGAGTATGGGTGTTGGTGTCTGTCTATGTGTGAGTGTTTGTACATGCGTGTGGAAGGGAGTATGGGTGTTGGTGTCTGTCTATTTGTGAGTGTTTTTATGTGCGTGTGAAAGGGAGTATGGGTGTTGGTGTCTGTCTATGTGTAAGTGTTTGTATGTGTGTGTGGAAAGGAGTATGGGTGTGGGTGATTGTGCCTGTCTATGTGTGAGTGTTTGTATGTGTGTGTGTTGAATGGAGTTTGGGTGTTGGTGTATGTATATGTGTGAGTGTTTGTATGTGTGTGTGGAAGGGAGTATGGGTGTTGGTGTCTGTCTATGTGTTAGTGTTTGTATGTGCGTGTGGAAGGGAGTATGGGTGTGGTGTCTGTCTATGTGTGAGTGTTTGTATGTGCGTGTGGAGCAAGTATGGGTGTTGGTGTCTGTCTATGTGTGAGTTTTTGTATGTGTGTGTGGAAGGGAGTATGGGTGTTGGTGTTTGTCGATGTGTGAGTGTTTGTATGTGCGTGTGGAAGATAGTATGGGTGTTGGTGTCTGTCTGTGTGTGAGTGTTTGTATGTGTGTGTGGAAGGGAGTATGGGTGTTGGTGTCTGTCTATGTGTGAGTGTTTGCATGTGCGTGTGGAAGGGAGTATGGGTGTTGGTGTCTGTCGATGTGTGAGTGTTTGTATGTGCGTGTGGAAGAGAGTATAGGTGTTGGTGTCTGTCTATGTGTAAGTGTTTGTATGTGCGTGTGTAGGGGGTGTGGGTATTGGTCTCTGTCTATGTGGTAGTGTTTGTATGTGTGTGTGGAGGGGGTGTGGGTGTTGGTGTCTGTCTTTGTGTGAGTGTTTGTACATGTGTGTGGAAGGGAGTATGGGTGTTAGTGTCTGTCTATGTGGTACTGTTTGTATGTGCGTGTGGAGGGGGTGTGGGTGTTGATGTCTGTCTCTGTGTGAGTGTTTGTACATGCGTGTGGAAGTGAGTATGGCTGTTGGTGTCTGTCTATGTGTGAGTGTTTGTACATGCGTGTGGAGGGGGTGTGGGTGTTGGTGTCTGTCTATGTGGTAGTGTTTGTATGTGCGTGTGGAGGGGGTGTGGGTGTTGGTGTCTGTCTATTTGTGAGTGTTTGTAAGTGCGTGTGAAAGGGAGTATGGGTGTTGGTGTCTGTCTATGTGTGAGTGTTTGTACATGCGTGTGGAGGGGGTGTGGGTGTTGGTGTCTGTCTATGTGTGAGTGTTTGTATGTGCGTGTGAAAGGGAGTATGGGTGTTGGTGTCTGTCAATGTGCGAGTGTTTGTACATGTGTGTGGGTACAATGTGTGAATCCCATTTCTGGTGTCCCCCGCCGTGATATTGCTGGAATATTGCTAAAAGCGGCGTAAAACCATACTCACTCACTCATTGTACATGTGTGTGGAAGGGAGTATGGGTGTTGGTGTCTGTCTATGTGGTAGTGTTTGTATGTGCGTGTGGAGGGGGTGTGGGTGTTGGTGTCTGTCTATGTGTGAGTGTTTGTACATGCGTGTGTAAGTGAGTATGGCTGTTGGTGTCTGTCTGTGTTTGAGTGTTTGTATGTGCGTGTGGAGGGGGTGTGGGTGTTGGTGTCTGTCTATGTGGTAGTGTTTGTACATGCGTGTGGAGGGGGTGTGGGTGTTGGTGTCTGTCTATTTGTGAGTGTTTGTATGTGCGTGTGGAAGGGAGTATGGGTGTGGGTGATTGAGCTTGTCTATGTGTGAGTGTTTGTATGTGTGTGTAGAAAAGAGTATGGGTGTTAGTGTCTGTCTATGTGTGAGTGTTTGTATGTGTGAGTGTTGAGGGCAGGAGGAGGATGGGTGCTAGTGTCTGTCTATGTGTGAGTTTTTGTATGTGTGTGTGTGTCCTGAAGGGAGGAGGAGGATGGGTGCTTGTGTCTCTCTGTGTGTGAGTGTTTGTATGTGTGTGTGTTGAGGGCAGGAGGATGGGTGCTGGTGTCTGTCTATGTGTGAGTGTTTGTATGTGTGTGTGTTGAGGGCAGGAGGAGGATGGGTGTTGGTGTCTGTCTATGTGTGAGTGTTTGTATGTGTGTGTAGAAAAGAGTATGGGTGTTGGTGTCTGTCTATGTGTGAGTGTTTGTACATGCGTGTGGAAGGAAGTATGGGTGTTAGTGTCTGTCTATTTGTGAGTCTTTGTATTTGTGTGTGAAAGGGAGTATGGGTGTTGGTGTCTGTCTATGTGTAAGTGTTTGTACATGCATGTGGAAGGGAGTATGGGTGTTGGTGTCTGTCTATGTGGAAGTGTTTGTATGTGCGTGTGAAAGGGAGTATGGGTGTTGGTGTCTGTCTATTTGTGAGTGTTTGTATGTGCGTGAGGAAAGGAGTATGGGTGTTGGTGTCTGTCTATGTGGTAGTGTTTGTATGTGCGTGTAAAAGGGAGTATGGGTGTTGGTGTCTGTCTATGTGTGAGTGTTTG